GGAGCACTATGTTGAGTTAGAAAATAAGAAAAGAAAAAAGTCACAACAGTGACAAGGCTTCCTTTCCAGCATAATATTTCGAATCGCCTCTCGCAGTGTATGAGACGACTTCAAAAACCGTTATTCCTTCAAAATTCTGGAGATAACTTACCGTTCCCAACGCATCCATGAGTACGTAGACCATGGCCTCCCATCCTGCACCTTTGGCGACTACCTGGGCAGGGATCGTCGATACCGACGTCTTTTCTTCCGTACAAGGCACACCTTTCCATCGCCACACATTATCTTCGACCTCGACAGGTTTTGGAGGGTACACCTGAAAATTAATCTAAAGTCACAAGAAAAGAACCTTGTGAAGAATAAGAAGCGGTGAGACTATAAACGGCGGTAGGATGGAGGGCAGTGAAAGAAGTGCCGCCCGAATTGATCGCTGCGGTGGCCGCACGTGCGAATACGCGAATTCGCGCGTTGACCCCACGCTGACCTACATGAATCTCCGAAAAACGGTAAAATAAGAAGTCCTACCTGCTCGGTAACGTTACTGTCCGCTTGAATCAATGTGAGCGCGACGGATTGTCGACCATGCAGAACCGCTATCGCTAGCGGTATATTCCCCTCCTGAAATTGCTCCGATTTGATTATTAAAATTTTTTAAAATCCACCCAAAAAGCTGTGACCTTATTCTTGACAGATACACTGGCTCCCTTACGAATCAGCGTCACAGCACAGATGTTGGCATTTTTGTAAGCAGCCAAATGAAGTGCCGAATTCCCTTCGCAGTCACCCCAGTCGAGCTGAAAATCGTTGTACTTCATTTTTTTCATATGAAACTAAATTTAATATCCATATCCGCGGAGACAGAGGGGGCGTGGCTGCGCACTTCATCTGAATATGGCGTAGTATCGTTTTTCAAAGAAGATTTCCGCTTGAGGCAACTGTTCTCCTGTCTAGGGCTAAACGAAGACATGATCACAGTTAACCTAAAAGGGCAATATGTCGCCAAAAGCGCAGCGCCAACCCCACGTTCAAGGAATCATGCAGCCACGCCCTCCCCAACATCTGAATATGGAGTGTAGACAGACTCACCTGTTGCTTGTTCATATATCGAGTCAGTATCGAAACAACAGCGATTGGATCGCGAAGTTCGCTGGTCAGCGCATTCTTGGTGAATTGAGACTTTGAGGCGAAAGCATAGTGAAGGGGAGTTCGCCCGAACTGGAATTACTCCATATTCAATCGTTATATCTGAAGACAGTCTGGGCTCGTCAGCGGCGCGGTGGATTTTGGCTCAGCGCCAGCTCATTTCCCACCGTTCACAGCTACAGCGATCGATCAAAAACGGGCTGGCCAAACCAAGGCTACGATGGCACACTCCGACTGAGTCAATCGCTTTTTGGGATTCAACACTCATTACACTTCCATTTGGAATCGTGGTGACTTACTGGAAGCGATGTGTCCTATACAATTACTTGTGGAGGCTAGCCAAACGTGCGATCCGTCGTCCTTGTCTTGTGTATAGATAGTCTGCTACAATCCGCTGAATAATAGGCTTCATTGACTCTGGGCGGAAGCCGATATTGTGGATTTTATTTCCGTATCGCCGCGTTCGAATGTTGCGCAGTTACTATAGGTTGTCCGAGAAGTCTTTAGCGTTGTTGGAGTGTTTATACATTTTAAACGATCAACTAACTTTCTGTAACACTCCATTGCGGATTTAATCCAAATAAGCACATCATCGAATCAGCACAAACCACTTTTTGCCAATGTGGGGCAGCAGTCGAGAAATCCCATCAAAGAAAAAAACTGGGTGGTCGAGAATCCACGAAATCTGCGGTCTTTTTTGCCTGGTCCTGTTTGATGAAGTATTTCTCAGCAGGAAAGTTCTGAAAATGTCTGAAAAGGTGACAGTCGGTTGGTGAAAGGTCTAGAGAATATGGTGGGTGAGGTAGAACTTCAACTCCCAATTCGTTCAATTTATGGATAGTGATTTGTGAAACGTGTGGGCGGGCGTTGTCATGCAAAAGAATCGGACCCTTTCTTTTGATAAGTGTTGGCTGCAGCTGACAATATTTCGGTACATTTGGTCGGTTTGTTCACAGTAGGGTTCTGCTGTGATGGTTTGGCCTGGTGATGAAAAGTTATAGTGGATTACAACAGCCGATGACCACCAAACCTGACCAGAATTTTTTTTTCGCGAGGGTTCGGCTTTGAAAATTACCTCGGTGGTTCCTCCAAATCCAACCACTGTCCGGAACGTCTCCTGTTATCATACATGATCCATTTTTCATCACAGGTGACAAATCCGTTCAAAAACGGGTCAATTCTTTTGCGCAAAAGCAGGAACCTCGAGACGTGCCGATTCCTGCCGGTCACTTTCACTCCGTTGCTGGGGCACCCAATTGTCGAGTTTTTTCACCTTCCCAATGCGTTCCAGACCATCTGCAACAGTGGATTTGCCAAGGCCTAGCTCTTCTGCTATCTCTCGAACTGTTTGGATGGGTCAACCTCCAAAATCCCCCTAAAATCCTCGTCAGATATTGCTTTAGGTCGACCGCTATGAGGCCTCACCTTCAATGGCTTGAAATTTTCCAGAACGACATTTGTTGAGCCATTGCGGCACAGTGCTTTCTCTAGCACTATTGGGCCTCCACACCTGGTTAATTTGTTGAGCTGTTTCGATTGCGGATTGCCAATTTATAGCGAAGAAAAAAATCGTCCGAAGTGCTCTTTCACACATGCTTGAAAAAATCTTGAAAAAAGAGGGTTTATCAAGCAATGGTGAAACGGCAATTATACCATCAGATAGCGCAAGAAATTCTCTACAGGATGTGCTACTGAGAAGCAAGGCAGAATGAGTTTTTAATCAGCAGTGAATGTACAAAGATTAGGTGCACAAAACGCTAAGAACTTTCCGGACAACCTAATACTTCCCCCTGCATGATACCTTCAAGGGTAATTTTCAGAAAAAAATGAATCAGCCTGAAACTAAAAATTAGATTTTAGATTCCCCCGGCTTTTTTTTTTTTTTTTTTTTTTTTTCTTTTTTTTCCCAAAAAAAAAAAAATGAAAAAAAAGAAAAAAAAAAAAAACGCAAAACCCCCTTTTTTTTTGTTTGGGGGCTTTCGGGAACGTGCGCGTCAGAAACATATGAGCGGAAATCAAAACGCCAATCTGAGCGGCACGTCGACACCGTTACGAGACAGCCAGATCCCATTCAAGGTCATGATATTTTGTCGGTCAGTGATCCGGGAAAGTCTGGAAATTAATGGAAAATTGAGAATGGAAAAGGGGAATTCAACTGTCCCGGTGGATGGGAAGGGATCTTGTTTAGGCCCCTAGCAGAAACGAGCGGGCTTCGAGTCCCGGACTATTATGCGTCGTGGTTCAGCGGGTATTTACGCGGTAAGGTTTCATGTTACGGCTTTCTATCACGTACCAATTAGAACGTTTATGGGCAACGAGCAATTTGGACTATAGCGGAGGTCATAAAGACAAACCAGTGTGAAACCAGTGACAATCATTGGCGGAGGGGGAGCAGGCAAGAGAATCGTAGTTTGCCGCTCCGCCGCACGCGGCGATGGGTGCGGCGTTTTCTTAACTTGTCTTAACTTAACCTCTCAGTTGGAGCACCGGACTTCACCCCGTCATCGTAGACATTCATGACTATTTTCGGTTCTGAATTGCCTGTTGTCGCCATCTACTACCTGGAACCATCGTCATTTGCGGTGCGACGTCGCACGCGACGCCCACAAGCGCGGCGAATTACGATTCTCTTGTAACATACCCGGCGGAAGGGCTGTTTTGGCTGCGTTACAGCTTACCGGTCGCACGCCCTATCGCTTGCAAGGATCATGACTATAAATCGAGTAAGTAGGCCATCACAACCTCAGAAGAGCATCTAATTTTACGCATAAGTATTACCTATTGGTGTTGAATAAACTGATTAGTTTTCGGATTCAACAAGGCTCACCACATCACGAGGAACGTCTGGGGTGTTGGCAGCAAGCCATTCAATCGGTTCCAGAACTGAATTCGCCGAACAATCACATGACTGAACGGCCTCATGCAATGGAGTGAATCCTTGACTATTGCCCTGAAAAATAGTGAGTTACCCATGGACTATGCTTTTCCCTCGTGATTCTCACCCTCATCGGGATTCCTTTCAGTTCCGAAAATCGGAACAGATCCACGGCTCTCAGATCCTGCGCTCTCGCAGCGTAATGCCATAGGTTGTCACCGTCTGAAAATGTGTGGTCAACTAGGCGCTGTCGATCAATAGATCAAAGGTCGATCAATCGATAAGCGGACAGAACACGAACTGGCATCAATGTGCCTCCATTCGGCCGTGGTGAGCTGCAATTCTTGTACCAGATCGAACGTCTTCTGCTCGATGAACAGCATGGCTAGCGATTTATTCACCGGTTTTGCTGAAATGGTTACTGTGAAGTGGAATTAAAGAAGGAGTCAAGGGGGACTTAAAGACACACCTTCCTCGTTTTCCTTCGGTTTTGTTTCGTAGCGGAGTACGGCATTGTGAACTCCATCGATACAGCCATGTTGCTTTGTCGTTTGAAGGATCAGCCGGGCAGCATTTGGATCACGTTTCAACGCTGATATTACAAAACCGAAACCATCAGGACCCTCCAATGCCAGCACATTCCTGAACACACAAAAATAGCGCTGTCGGGGGGGGGTGGGTTGTGGATTTTTGCAATTCTGCTAGTTTCTTTTGCTAGTTCCTGTTGAAATAAACGTTCTATCTTGGTGAAACTTGTAAGCTCTTGTCAGGTGTGAAGGAAGCGCATGCTATTGCATAGCTTTACAGGAATTTACAAGTCTCCAAGGAGGAGTCGCCAGTGAAAGGAAAAGCAAGATGCCCCCACCAAAGCAAACTGCGCCTGAATAATTATTAAACTCAATTATCCTTGCCAAAAAAGCTAGTCCCTGTAGGATTTGTTGAAGATCCTTGAAAATCCTCCACACTTTTATTCATTTTATTCAGCTTTTTGGGTGCAAGTGTCTGTGTTCTAAAGTTTTCAAAATAAGGATGTACTCTCGGTCCTTTACCTCAAGACGTTCTTCTGAACTGCTTTCTCCAGAATCTGCCTTAGCAATTGCAACTTTCCATCCTCGAGTCTGATCTTGAGTGCAATGTAAGGTAGACTAGTTGCGGTAATCAATAGTCCTCCGTTCTGATCAGCGTTCTTGGGCATCGCTTCCATGGTCAAGCAGTCTGGGCATAGATCACAACCCCACATGAACAATCGATTCACATAGTCGACGAAATTCTGAAATGAAATGTTTGGGGATGCTAAACAATTCTAAAAAAATCTGTTGATCATACTACTACGTGGTGGGTCCGGGTGATGCCCCTGAAGTAAGTGGCTCCAGCCTCTTATTCCGAATGCTCTTCTACTACCCCCCCCTCCTATCAAACTCCCCCTGTTTCTTTGCAAACTGTTACCAGTTTACAGTACTTTACCCATCAGGAGCTGTTCTTTCCCAAATAATTTCTCTCCCCGGTTAAAACAAGGTAATCATGATTAGACTATTATTTTCAGCTACGAGTAGGGCAAAAGGATGTGGTGTTTGGTTTTATATATCGTTGATAACATCGGAAACAGTCGAGATGAAGGGGGTGTCGGGAG